CCCTGTCTCAGGATTGCCGGGGCACATTCCCAGTAGGTGCCGTGAACCACCGAGTGCAAGTGGATGCCATCTGCGTTTCCGCAGATGTCTTGAATACGACGCTGCCACTGCGCAGAGTGCTGTCTGTCCGACTGCAAGTAATCGAATTCGATGTGGCCAGAACTTTTGGAGGTCTCCTGGGGGAAATGGCGGCATTGGCCCAGAGAGTCGCAGACTGCGTGGACGTGCGCCCAGTGCCGCACCATCATCTCCACCAATGCTGGGTCCTTTGCACGGGGGTGGTTGCTCTGGCTCCTCCCACATTTTTCAAACTTTGAACGCTTGGTCAATCTCCCGATGTTGTTCCTCAGGACATCATACGGGCTTTGCACCAATGGAGTGGCCAACTCCAATGACTTTGTGCCAGCCACATGCGACAGCTTCAGGAGATTTGCCAGCATCTCGCTCGCGATGAGGACCGACTTCAGCGGGAGTCGTTCAATGCTTTCCAGTGCCTTGTGTGATGGCCGCTGTGAGGCCACAGCGGCTTGCAGTCCTGCAAAGGTCATAGAGGTCGCGACGACTCAGCATCGTGTTGACCTTCACCCACTTGTGCCGGGAATTCTTCTCGAGCGGCTTTGTTGGGATCCCCTCCACATTGGCCATCCCGTGTGGCAGGAGCTCGTGTTTGTGTTGAGGGCCATGGACCTCTAGTGTATCTTGGCAGAAAGACGGCAAGACGAAGCCGAAATTGATGTGGTTTACGTTTCTCCGCTTGCCTTCCTGCAGGGGCATTGCTTGAACAGTGTTTGCAATAGTTAGAACAAACGTACAGGGACATGCAGCTTTTCACACGCCCCAACCCCATGCACTTTCCCAAACCTGTCCTGAAATTTCTGGTTTATCAGCGTCGTGTCTTTTGAAAAAGTGGCCCGTGACATGGTGTAGTAGCTGAGCAGGGCAGCTGCGATGCTCGAGGCCGTTGCCGTGTCCTGGTCGGCGGCCGAGCAGTACGCCACCAGCGCTGAGGTGATCTGGTTGGTCGTGAAGACGTCCTGGTCCGGGCCCGTCCGGTAGGCCGGTAGTCGAGCAGCAGCGCGTCCACTTGTGAGGAGGTGTAGTAGGCCATGCAGCGCAGCCGCGAGGGCCGCGTCCGCCGCTGCGATGTCAGCTGTGATGCTCAGTTGCTTCCGCGAACGAGCTCCCAAGTAGTGAAGCCCGCCCAGGCCGGCGTGTTAACAACTCCGCCGCTGCCGGAAGCTGCAGGGCGGCGAGCTCCGCGAGGATTGCGTCGAGGGCGCTGGCGAGCGTGGTCTTGCTGGCTGAGAGCGCGGCGTTCGTGGCGTGCAAGGCCAGCAGCGTCGCGTCGGCCTTGGCCCTCTGGAGGCCCGTGATGCTGGCGTCCCGGCTAGCAAGCTGCGCTGCGACGAAGGCCTCGGGCATTTGCTATCTTGGTGTCTACCTCCAGTGGCGTAGCCCGTCCACCGTGGAGAGCAGGGCGGCCAGCGCGCTGGCGTCCGCCTTGCCGAGGAGGGCAGGGCTGCCGTGGTGACTGCGCCCAAGAGGGCTGCCGAAGGTCATTTTTTTGGGCAGTCGTCTCTAGCCAAAAACGGCGGCGAACGACAGCGGGCTTTTTTTTTTCGTCATTTTTGAGCGCTGCCACTTCTAGTCAAAAACGAAGTTGAAGGGCAGCGGGCTTTTTTTGATTTTTTAGTCCAGCACCAAGACGCCCGTGCCGGAGAGCCAGCTGGTAGGCCACCAGGTGGATGAACAGGTCCGTCATCGTGCCGTCCAGGCCCTTGAAGGTGAACCGAGCAAGGTCGCCCGAGCGGGTGCTGACACCACTCAGTGGCATCTTGGGCACGCGCTCGGTCGGAAAGCCGGCAATGCTGCATCTGCGACTCCAGGAGGCTGGCCAGAGTGGATTTTGGAGCCCGCGTCGTTGTCCCAAAAAGTCACGAACGCGACCATGAGTTTCGTGAAGGCGCGCGCCACGGTGACGTTGTCTCCGCGACTCCGTTCGGGACGCTGGACTGCTGCGTGTGCACCGTGGGGTAGCTGAACACGAGCGCCCGGTTGAAGGACTCTACCAGCGCAGAGTCCAGGACGACCTGGGAGGCCAGAACTCGGACGTTCTTGATCTCAAAGTCGGTGCTCAGCGTGGCGCCCGACGGGTGCGCCCCGGCGTTCTCGGACCACAGCGCAGTCGTCGCGTCTGCGAACTCGATTTCTATCACCAGGTTCAGCTGCGGCGGCAGCATCTTCCCGCAGCGCAGGATGCCCACCACGGTGGGGCGCAGCAGCACGTCCGCGTAGCCGGCCTGGTGCACCGCTTCGTCGAAACCCTCCATGGCCTTGTTGCGGTTGTTGGACACAGCACAGTCGTACATTGCATCCTTTGAGGCCCTGGCACAGATCGCTTTGCTTCGCTGCACTGCCGCCCTTCTTCCCGGAGGTCGCCGTCGTGTGAGGATCAAATCCTGGTGCGACAATACGGGGGCGGAATCAGCTTCAAATCGCTGATATACCGGCAAGTACCCGTTGAACATTTTTGTGCAACGACTTTCGCTTTTCAGTTGCTTTTCTGGTCTTCGGCTTAATGTGGGTCACATTCCTGGAGAACACAACGTGGAGGCCGATTTACTTTCAAGGTGGGACGGCCAGGCGGCGTCTCTTCCAGACCAGTTTGAAGACTGGCTTACAGAGCAGTGGAGTTGCAGCCTCTTTGCCCTGGCGTCCGCCTGTGAATGATTTCTTCATGTGATGCTTTTCTCTTTCAGCTGAGCCGTGAATGGCATGAGCGACAAACCTCACGTTTTTCAGGGGGGCAGGCGGCGAGGTTTGCTTTGTCACTGGAAGATTTTCTACAGGGGTGTTCCTTGCTTCAGTGGCTTTAGGGGCTGGATCCCCCTGTGCTTCACTTCAGCAACCGCCATTGTCAAAACAAACTGCTGCTTCGCTTTCGCATTAGCTCGAACTAGGTGTGGCTGTTGCTTAGGGGAACTTGAACGGTTTGTGTGTTTACTCACATGTGTTTCAGTTAACCCTTGCATACGCAACACGGATGCTCAAGCAACAGCCACAGCATGCTGTCAAAGCATTGGCTTTAAGTTTGTTCCCTCCTCTCACTTGGTTTTTGCTTCAGACTTTCAGTCTTTCTTTTCTGAGTCTGTTTGGTGACTCCGGCTTTGGGCTGAGGGCCCACGCTTGCTTGCTTTGGCCCAATTAGGGGCGCGCTTTGCACGGAAATGATTGATTTCCTTTTCACCTTTGGAGAGCGAGAGGCCGTTTCACTTTGGCTTTCTGGAGCGGGGGTGTTCCTTGCTTCAGTGGCTTTAGGGGCTGGACCCCCAGTGTCAAAACAAATTGCTGCTTCGCTTTCGCATTGGCTCGAACTAGGTGTGGCTGTTTGCTTAGGGGAACTTGAACGACATCTGTCACAGAAACGATGACAAGCTCGGCAGGCTGTCCCTCTGACAAAACGATGACAAGCTCGGCAGGCTGCCCCTGGCAGCCCAAAAGCACTCAAAGGCTGCCTGGGCTCAATGGGAAAGCCCGATCTTTGCGATTTGCAGGATTCCGGGGCTCGAATCCCGGCGATGACAAAACGATGACATCGATGACAAGCTCGGCAGGCTGCCCCTAGCCGGTCTCTGCGATTTGCAGGATTCTGGAACTGGCTCGGAAGGCTCTGGGCCCCTTAATGACCAAGATTGACTCAATGTTGCCGTGATTTCGAGCCCTGGAAGCCTGCAGAGCCGTTTTCTGACCAAAGAACGAGGTTTTCGAAAATTGGCCATTTTGCGCACCTTTTCCACCCAAAAGGCCCCGATGACAAGCGATGACAAGCGATGACAAGTTCAGCGGGTTGGCGTGTTAGGACCCCTTTTTTGGCCAAAAAACGCACTTTTTTTTACGTCACTATAAGACGTACTTCCTTACTACTGTGGACGCATGCCAGCACAGCATGTTAATGGCCAAATCCTGGTGCTTCGCGTGCAACAACCCATGCGTCCAGCATGTGGCAGCCCGCTGCGATCACCAAACCAAGCACCCTAGCATCGCAGGAGTGCGGAACAGCTCACCAATTTCTTAGCACTTTGACAGCAGAATGCCCAGAAAGGACACGCATTGTGTTTCCTCCTGCACCCCGAGCCTGGACTTCCAAGCCACTCCTCATAAAGAAAAGGAACGGAGCGCGCCTTTTGTCGGTCGTACCCTTTTGTCTTTTGATGCATGTTCCCGTACGGCTTGAAGCAGTGATCAAGATTCTAACGTTTGGGGTTTTCCTTTTCCCCTATGTTTTAATCTTGAACGCGTTGCCGTTTTCTGCTTCAAGCTTCTTAAGCGTCGTAATTGCAACTTCGATAGCGGGGGCAACTTGGCGGCGTATTCAAGTTGAAATTCATGGGCACCTACCTGGATGCTTCTTTGGCAAACAGTGCCAGCGTTTGGTCTTCGTGCTCTGAGACTCGTGTGATTTGTTTGTTCATGGCATCGTCTGCATTTGGTTTTCAATGCGCGGGGGCGCATTGTGCGCAAGTGGAACGTGCGATGTTTTATATGGGATTTGAAACATGTTTTTGTCAACCGCCGCAATGTTGTCAAACGGAACATTGTCACAGCGTGTGGCGTGAAACAGTGGGGGAAAACCAGAGCTCTGTGATTCAATTTACCCGAGCTGCTTGCTGTCATCTTCCGGAACGTCAAAACATCGTTCCGGTGATGATCTAACAGCCAGCACTTCAAACTCTGAATGCTTTTGGGATTGGGATAGTGTGTTTGGCATGCAGAGTCTCAGAAAACCGGAAGGCATCCACAAGCACTCCACAATGAAACTCTTGTTGCGTAAGCTGTGATTGCCTCACGTGCATCGAGCGTTGGAACTTGACGCTTCATTTGATGGCGCGAGTTTCTAGGATCCAGTCTTGAATGGCAATACGGCCCAGAACATGAGAGGCGCAGCGTACAGTGTCGCGGAGCATTTTGAATCCACACGATCCCAACATGCCGAAACAGACCCAGAGTCCAACAAAGCGACCGTGCACATGGCGTCTCCGACTTCGAAATCGGGAGGTCGCCGTGGAAGTGGGGAAACCGGGCAGGGACGTGGCCCGATTCTGGGCTGTCAAATCTTCAAAATTGTTTTTGCAAGCCACGGGTTTGACGTCCGCAAAGCAGTTGTTGTCTGAGTCTAGTGAGGATAAGGGTTGCACATTTCCAGATTTTGGGGACAGGTCAGCCCCACAAGACCCTTTCAGCAGCAATCCTTGCTGTCTGATAAGATTGCAACATTCTGAGTGTCGTAACGATCTGAGCGCCAAAGGCTCACACATTTGTCATGGCGAAGGTGAGAAAGATGTGGGGGGAGGCAGGCACTGGTATTTAGGGAACCTCTGAAGAATGATACTGAGCTGGCAACCACAAACGAACCACCGAGACAGCGAGTTTCGGACAAAAGACGCTTCTTCACAGGGGACGAATTTCCAGGTGGTTGGTTTTCTTTTGGTTTCCTCACTTGTCCAAAGCGAATCGACCTTTCGACACCTTGCTTTGTCTCCAGGTCCGTCTTTGATGGGCCCAAATGAACGGCCCGGGTCCGTGGTAAGTCCCTAGATAGCCATGTTGCCGCTTTTTTCAGTCCCTGTTGCGATCGGTTTTTTGGGTTCTGTGTGGAAAAAAGCGCGCGCAACTGGATCGCTCCAGCAGCCCCTTCCCGTTCGAAGAAAGTCCGAGGCGGCAAGCCAGAGGGCCTGCCGCAGCTGGTGCCCGACGAGGCCCCGAGCCCGGAGCCTCGGGGGAGGTGGGGGTCGAATTTCCTCCCCTCCCTCCCCCACCCTCCCCCCTGGTTTTTGAGATTGTTCTGAAAACTCGCGGGCCTTGATTTTTTTGTTCTTTCCGGTTTCTGGATCATTTTGTGGTGGGTTCTTTTTCGGAAAAGTGAACCGTGTCGTTTGATGCCTTTCTTGGAAGTGCCAACAGGTTCAGGGCAAAGCCGAAAGCTTCAGTGCATTGTTTCCAGAAAAATCAGGAAAGAAAAATCAGGGAAGGTGCTGTTGCTGGGATCCATTTGTTTTGTCCTTGTGGGTTCTCTTGTTTTGGTTTATTGTGATTGTTCTGTTTGGCTCATCCTCTTTGTTGCAAACTCTTACATTATCCACCAAAAATGGTGGCTTCGCTTTGTTCTTGGGCATGTTTGAAACGGTCCGATGGTATATTTTACGAAGCCCTGATTTCATCCCCTGTCTTGAGTAGTTTTTGCGGACCCTTCAAGGCGGCTCCTTGCGTTGATTGTTTCAATCACAAATGCCCAACCCTGGTTGAAACCCTCTGAAACGGAATCACACCCTGCTTGAGAATATCCCCAACAACCATTCCCTCGCAGGATTCATTTGTGGCAACGGTGTCATTCACATATTTCCGACTGAGTGGAACCAATGCAGGAGAATGTGTCTACCATCATCTCTGAGTCACACAAGATCAGTAGTACCATCATTCGAGCTGGGTGCCATAAACATCAGTAAAAACTGCATGCTATATGACCAGCTGCATGTCCACAGTAAGAGGGAGCCAAGTGATCCTATCAAACGGGTCTTGGTATAACCGGAGCCTCCCCACGAGTCATGGCAACACCTGAGGCTAGAGTGAACGTAACAAAGTCACGTCATGGTCAGAATTGGTTACAGTCCTTGTCATTGTCTATATTGGTTATTGTCAATATGTAGCATCAAAAGAGATTCCAAAATGTAGCATCAATATGTTACTACAGTTATTGTCACAGTCAATATGTCATTGTCATACCAAAAGTATCATGGGTGGCAACTGAAGGCCGGGAGCTGGCGCCTGGCGTGGCCGATTGCGTGGCAGGGAGCCCGGAGCCGCTGATTTCACCCAAAGGCGGAATGAGACATGGAACGACGCTGAACAAAAACCAGCTTTTGCGGTGTCCTGAAAAATAAACTTTTGTGGTGTCCTTACAAAAAAGAACAAACAAAACAAAAACATCTTTTGTGGTGTCCTTTTCAGGGAATGCCGGGGTTTATTCCCTCATTCCCCCTGCGCACCAGCAAGTATGACACAGGGTGTGCCTTGTTAACGACAAAGTACGGATTGGGATTCGGGCTCTCAATTTGAGCAACCCAGCAAGAAACTGATGGCTCATGGAAGGGGTTCATTTGATTCAATCGCAACTGAAGCCCTTAGCCAACAACCCTGAGAGCTTTCCCTCAGCCCAAGCTTTTGATGGTGTGTTCGTGTTGTCCTGCGCTCCAGCCTGTTTCTTTTCCCGAGGCGAATCCGCTGCAGGCCCAGTATGCCTGGGATTCCATCAACTCCCTCATTGAGACCTGCCGCAGGGTGCGCATGAAGAACTGGCAGGCCGATTTGGGGGGGAGGACCCCGTAGGTCCCAGATTTGTGATCGGTTTGCAAGTGAAAAGGGACCAACAACCATGAGATAAAACCAGCAAATCAAATCGAGGATCCGCAGTTGAAGGGGCACGAAGGAGTTTGCGAGTAGCGTTGACCCATGTCTGGCACCTCGCTAACCCCAAAGCCAAACTTTTGAATCTGCTTCAGTGGAGGGGGAGTGTTGATGTCAGGATCGGAACAAGTTGGCTGATTGTTTTGGAAGGTCTTGAGAGGAAGCTGAGTATGACACCAACCACTACACTCTTGCTTTGAAGGACACTGGCCTCTCTGGGTCTACTGACTGCCATCAGGGAGGATCACCAACTAAATTCCAGGCATGCCGGTGCCAAGCTCGAGATGACAGAACGCTTGGCGCCTTTCCGGGCTGAAATGCGCCAGCGGCCCATGTTTGATTCGTTGGCCAAAAGGCGCATATTTTTGCTTGGTTGGAAAAAACAACAACGCAGATTGGACAGTCGCCTGCATGCGACTATACGCGTGAGTAGACTGGCAGCATGGCGAGCGAATCCATCTGAAACATCACAGACATGCATTCCCCCACCCCCCCCCACTCCACAGCACCCCTCCCCCCAACAAAAAAGAGAAAGAAACAACAACAAACACGCACACGCACACACACACACACACATACACACCAAAAAACAAACCTCCAAGGTCAAGCCGCCGGGAACCCATTTGCCAGCCGCGCCAGGCGGTGTCGGAGTTCCCGAGGCAGGGCCCCTTCTTCGAGGCGCGAAACGGTTCGCTTCGCGTCGCCGGGTGCATTTGGTGGCTGTTCGATGGCTGGTCCAGTGTGGTTGCAACCAAACGAGATGGAATGCCATGGAATTCTTCTCCGTTATTCCCTGAGTCTTTACTACCATGTAGACATCACCTGTAAGTGTTTTTTTCTTTTTTGGTGGCTTGAAGGCCCAGGAAGGTCCAGTTAAAGGTGCATTGAAGTGGTTGGGATATTTTGTTTTTGGAGGGCTTCTCATAAAAGATTGCTGGGGTTGTTTGTTTAGGTTGGTTTCACGGGAAACCAACAGGAACACCGCCCTTCAAACAACTCCAAACAACTCCAAACAAACGACACAGCCTGCTGCCTGGCTGAGTTTGCACGCTGCCCTCAAATTGTCAAAGGGTATCCAAAGGTGGCCCGGACTCGAAGGCCCCGAAAAGACGAGCTGCAAACATGTTGGCTCTCTGACTCCTTGACCTTCTCGGACTTCCTTGGCCTCTCACTTTCAACGTTGAAGGCACATTTTCAAGGCCTCCCCAATTTCTGCCTGGTGTTCCGAGTGGCACCACTTCGCCGATCAGGGCATGCCGAAGGGGAGTTCCAGCGAAACGGTCACAGGCGGGCTTTGAGGTCCGGAGTCGGGTGCCAGTTGGTTCACTGGACTCGGTGGTTTGAACTCGTTATCCGCTGTTTGTTGCGGGATTGGGATGGTCAAAGTGGGAAGCCTGAAGCCAGGGCGGCTCTGAGAATGGTGACGTAGGGCCCAGTGGGCTTGTATCAAAGGATTCTGATCCAAGCACACACACAGACATTGGTGGCGAGGTCTGTCAAGCCATGAATCAATTGGTCTTCTGAAGGGTGAGCGTTGGTTGTTTGGGGGAGCGACCTGCGTTGCAAATCACTGACCTGCCGTCAAGGGGTGAGAAACCAGAGCGGGAAGGATCCCCCAACCACCCAGCAACAAGGTGTCACTTGCATTTGTCTAGTTCACTTGTTTCTTACGATATGATCCCCACTCCGCCAACCCCTTCTTCTGGTTTCCTTCAAACGAAGCCTTGCAAAGGTCTTGGGGTTTCATTCGCCGGAAACCATGGGGGAGTCCCAGCTTGCCAGTGCTTTCATGCTGGGCTTGGGTGAACAAGCAGAACCATCCACCCCATCGGCTGCACTCCTTTCCTGTTTCCAGGCGCGTGAGAGATTCTTTCAGCCTCTCAGAGAGCCGAGCCAGCGCAGGCTTCAAAAGGTGGCGGCACGCAGCACGAACCCAAAACTGCAGTTTTCGCGCTTTACATGGATTCCCAAGACGTCGAAATCACAAGACACGGATGTCAGAAAGCCCTCTCAAACTTTGAACCGCTCTAAGTGTGAGGTTTCTGCAATAACAAACAGAGATCGGGCCAGAGTCTTCGGGATGTGTTTGAATATGAGTCTTTCTTAACATTGGGACCCAAAGCGGCTGCTTTGTGACAATGATTCCGGCTCCCTCCCCTTGTGAAATACCTGGATGTAGGAGGCTTGGTCAGATTTCCCTGTGTATCCAGTGATGCCATTGGTGCAACAGCTCGCCAACAGGGTTTCACGAGGGTGTGCGTTTGTTTTTCCGGGTACCTCCCCCATTTTTGATGTTTTTTTCAAGGAACTCCAGAAGGTCGTTCTTTGGATGCTTTGTGGATAGGTAAGCTTGGATCCACATTTTTGCAAGGTGTTTCTGAAGCTTGGGGACCATTGCGCTGCTAACACCAACCAAAAATGAGAGGTTGTACAGGTGTGGCCTGTACCGACATTTTGGGAGCTGAATTGGGACAAATCGCAGGCCATCCCAGAGTTTGTTGGTGAGGTTTCAAGCAGCTTCGGCTCTGGTCAACAAGCCCGCGATGTTTGGGTAGGGACCTTAAACCTGCGCAATGGCAGGTGGAATATTTTCCAGTCAGGTAACTCCCGAGATGCTCATATCAGAGATGGCTCATGCTTAGTTCCGCGAACACACCGCCTGGCAGGGGACGGTCAACAACTCAGCATGAGACAGCCATGAGTGTTCTGGCTTCAAAAAGTTTTGGAAAGACACCCATCCGAAGTGAGTGGTCCAGACGCGGATATTTTTATCTTGCAGCTGCCCAGAAGGGGGGGTATTTCTCCAGGTTGTCACCCCGCGCTGTACAAAGTCCCTTGGACGACTCAGGGAGCCATCAGAACCCCTTCGGCTTGACTCAGGTAACTGGCGGCCACCATTCAACGAACGAGCTAACTGGGGGAATCGCCGCTATGAGCGCAGGGGATTTGGCTCGTAGCTGGTCCCATGCTCGGCGCTCCAACGTTTCTGCGAGCTTCCCATGGGCCTCTGAAACGATTTTTCGTGCGAGCTTTGCATGAATCCAAGTTATGGAGTTGTGTGGCGCAGCGGGAACCCGGAAAGAGCCACGTGGCGCAAGCACACGTGTGAGGGAAGGCCGTGGGGCTGTCCACGTTAAAGCTGCACGGCCTCCCGTTGGCCATGGCAACGGAGGCCAGGGGAAGAGAACTGTCTTGGTCATTCGGTTGGCCACTCTTGGTAGTTGCGGTTATCATAGGTGTCCTTTTTGGTTGTTTTGGAAGGAAAATCGAGGGCGATTCCTGGTTTACCTGGTGGTTTAATCATCTACAAGGGCCATCTATTTCCCGGAACAGGACACCTGTGGCTGTTATCCTCTTTAGGTTGGCGAATCATGGAGATGGTGAAACAATGTAACTAGAATTGAGTGCTGGTCATCGGAGGTACATGGCGCAATCCTTCCAGTCAAGTTTCGGCCCCCGCAGAGCCCAGCGACCAGGGAACGGCGCCAGCTGGCAGAGCACTCGTTTCACACCAGGGTCCGAAAACGACAAAGATTCGCTTATCATGATTTTCTGGCATCTTTGCACCTACATAGTTCGAGATGCCAAGCAGCACGAGTTGTAAACCCAAGATGGTATGCCACAGACTGTACATGAGCCCCGGACCAAACTACTTGTTTCCCCAAGGCGAGCTGGAAGAATTGGGTTGTGCGTCTAGGTTGTGTGGGAAAGTTGGGTAGTACCCCATGTCCTCCCCAAACCAACAGTAGACATGCAAGAACTTTCCAGCTCCTCATATAAGCGATCGCTTCAAAGTGGTCTACCAGAATCCATGTAAGGAAGTTAAAGGGCGGCCGCAACTATGTCTGGCTGGGACTGCCCCTTACTAACCTTCACCTACCCGGGTTTTTGATTGTGGCTCGCTTGGTTGCTCGTCTCACACCTATATCCTGCTGCAGTCTCTCTTGCCTGCGTGCAAATATCAAACCATGTAAGGAACCACAATGTCACAAGAGGGGCCGTGTCTTGGTAACATGTAGCAAGTTCCTCAGTTCTCGAGGAACTCTATCGAAGGCACACTAGCCTAGTGTTCTCAGTTACTTGCTCACTGCAAGCGAGCCATTGTCCACTATCAGCCGCTCGTACCACCAAACACCGTATATCTAAAAGCCTCCAAACGCTTTTGGCGATCATAGACTCCAAAAGGAGTTTGTTAGACTTGCTGGTGCGATAGGCAGGAAATGAAAAGAACAACCCCTATAAACCATCCGGTTCCTATGGTTTCCTTTGTTCAAGAATCTTCCAAACGGTTCGTTGCCTCTGCTAGGAGCTGCGGCGCCGTTCCGCGCCAGCGTCGCCCATTTCGGGGCCGTTCGCAACCGCCGGCGCCGGAGCGGGTTGCGGGGAACGGGCCCAGACTTCCGGCAGCAAAATGGTGCCTTTTTCTTCTTCAATCCATTTCCTTTTTTTTTAAGGTTCCTTAGAGGGCTTGAGAAGCCTTTTTCCTTGAAGTTTCTGACAGTTTGAGAAGATGCCCTGATTTTGCTGGGGAGGGCTTGCTTCGAAATCAAGTAATCGGGTGTCCATAAGTTTCCAATGCTTTGGAGTTAGGAAGGCTCTTTTGGGGTTGGTTAAAGGGGCAACCCAAGGAGAGCCGACAAAACACTTTGGGGTTCCATATTCTGTGTGGAGACAAAGCTAGTGTGTGTGTGTGTGTGTGTGGGTGGGTGGGTGGGTGGGTGGGTGGGTGGGTGGGTGGGTGTGTGTGTGTGGATTAGTGAGTGTGGGGGTTCGTGGGTGAGTTAGTGAGTGAGCGAGTGAGTGGGTGGGTGGGTGGGTGTGTGGGTGAGTGAGTGAGTGAGTGAGCGAGGGAGGGAGGGAGGGAGGGAGGGAGTGAGTGAGTGAGTGTGTGTGTGTGTGTGTTGTGTGTGTGTGTTGTGTGTGTGAGTGTCTTGTCACCCCAGTCAGGTTTCATGTTCATGTGGACTTCGCATCAATAGACCTGACGCCTCGATACGGGCTGAAGCTGTGTGCTGTTCTGGCTATATTAATGTTTCTGGTTGCTTTTTCAGATCTTGCCATTGTAGCCTGTTTTGTGAGACTTCAAAGCGGTTTTTGAAGTTGCTACCTTTGGACGTCAGGATTGATGAGCGCCGGATGTACCGATCCATTGTCAAGGATTTGGCTCGATTATTTGTGTGTACATGTTTCCTTTCCGCTGGTTTAACAGAATTGTATTGAGAGAAAGCCAAGATTCTTTACTTGTCACGTATTGAGAGACAAACAGTCTGTTCAGGATCAGTGTTTTCCATGCATCACAATTTAAGTCCGAGGTTTGCTGATGCGAGCCATCATACCAAGCCTTCACGTGAACAAAGCCTGGTTCAGGGTATTGTTCTCCTGGCGCCAAGGGCTGCGGTGTGTTTCAAGCATAGGTGTCCTTTTGGTTTGGTTTGCTTAAAACATGGGCCCTGGGGTTAATTCCATTTACCAGGGCCATCTATTTTTCCAAAAGGCCACCTATGCTTTCAAGGCACCACCCCAAAAACATCCCCCCTTCCCACACCCTGAAGACTTCTGGCCGTGGGTTTGCAAGGCCCACAGGCAGTGCTTTCCAGCCAGAAAGCGTGGTTAAATGCATGGACTCTCTTTGCAAGACAGGTGCAGGAGAGGGAAGACCCTGGATTGGTCATGGTTCCGAGATATCCGCCTTTTTCCTCCGTAAAAGCCTCAATCCCTCCCGGCTCTTCCTAAAGAGTTTTAATTACAGTAGGCCATTCATGCACATACTTTTTGAGGTTCAAACTCTGAAAAAGATAGTGAAGTAGGTGGTGGACCCCTCCTGTGTTGGTTTCTGTGGGATGAAACAACTATATTATATTCCTTGGCACGTCAGGAGCAGCGCCTGTCAGGCAGCAAAAACGGGCGGTGGAACGGGTGGAACTGCGGGCTCGAGTCAGTTGTCTGGAATCTCGTTTCAAATGACTTGGCCTCGTAGGCGCACTGAATACAGAGAATCAAAGGCATCAAGCATTCCATTCTGTGGGAAAAAGCTGGGGTTTTGTCTTTGTCTTGCAAGTTCATTCTGATTCTCGCGTGGCTTCTGCAAGTCCTCAACGGCGCTCGATCAAAAGCCAGGTGCATTCCCCTTGGCTTATGGAAAGACTCACCGTGCTTTGGGCGCCCACATGATTCTGCCTTCTTCTAGAACCCCCCAAATTGTTTGTTTTCCTTTTGATGTCCCAAAAAAAACTACAAAAGAACGGGACCAACTCCAAAAGAAGACAAGCAACCACATGCCGCCCCCAAGGGCTAGGCAGGAAGCTTGCTCTATGAAACGAAAGGTTGGCGACCCGTTTGGTGTTCGTTGTCTCGCACTAGCTTACCCGCAGAGCCCTCAGGTGCCTCATGGGTGGAAGCAGCACTTCAAACTCGCAGCACTCGAGCTGCTGTTGCTGCTGCTGCTGCCTGCTGCTGCTGCTGCTGCTGCTGCTGCTGCTGCTGATGCTGATGATGCTGATGATGCTGATGATGCTGATGATGATGATGATGATGATGATGATGATGATGATGATGATGATGATGATGATTCGGTTTCATCGTTGTTGTTACATCAGTAGTTCATTCTGCAAAGAAAGATGGGGCACCCTTCCGGGCACCTAAGGAAGGTCACTTTGCCTGGCGTCAATCAACTGTGAATTTGGTGCCATCCCTTAGTTCGAAGATACCAAGACGCTGGACTCTTGGTGTTGTTTTGTATGGCGGGGCGTCGTTTTTGTTTTTTGTTTTTTCTCGGAGGTGTGCGGTGGGCCGCTGCCAAAGAGTAGCACAGGCGGGGAGCGGAAGGAAGGCTGGCATTTTTGGCATTCAGGTTGACCCAGAAGCGGCGAAACTTTGACTTGGACGAACTTATGATTTGATTTGATGAGGCAGTTTCTCTGGGCGCTGGCAAGGCAGCGCTCCCTTTTCTTGGGGTGGTCGTTTTTTCGTGACATGGCACATCCTGGGATGGCTTTTTGGGGCTCAAGTTTGCAAGCCCGTGAAGCAAGCCCAAGCGCCACAATTTCGACTGTCATGGACATGGCGGAGGTTGCAGACGGGCCGAGTGGAGGGAATCCAGAGCAGATTCGCAAGGTGAGGATCTCCCAGTTGGGCATCCCGCAGAGCACCTTCGACGAGTTTGACTTGGACCGGGATGGTCATGTGCATGTAACCGAACTTGTTGCCTACGTCCAAAAGCACAAGGGCTTGCAAAGCAGGTACAAGTTTGTGAAGCAGGCCTTTATGATGAGTCTCTTTGCCCTGGGCATTTTGCTTACCAAGGAGGTCACGGTATCGGGACATGGCCTTGTTTCTTCCAGGGAGTCCAGGAACCTCACCTCCACGTTGCCGGAAGAAGCCTTCGAAGAGCTGAAGTCTGTCACCCTGAACCTTCCGCATCAAAATGGGGAGGTGATCAAGGTGGTCTTGGACGTGAATGGCTTTAATCGCCGCTTCGTCGTCACCAGCCGGTGTGGCAGCGTGGTTGATTTGGACACTATCCACGGCCAGCTGACCCTTGATGATACGCAGCTCTTTGCCAGCACTGACTTTGTTGAGAAGATGAATACTCGTGGATTCAACATGGACGAGGATGCCGGCCTGATGGTCACTGACACGGGCCGAAGATTGAGTGTCGGTTCAGACATTGCAGGAATGTTCAACTTTTTCCAAGAGTACGAGTACAAGTGCGAATCCATGCGCAAGCCTTTGCAAGCACTTACGCCTCCTTTTGCCTTCACTCTGGACACATATCAGCTTTGTGAAGAGGATACGTGTTATTCGCAGATCAACAGCAGCGCTGGTGTCTTGGGCTTACCCGGGCTCACACGAGATCCCTACTTCCTGGACACCTTTGTGAAGGGGCTTTTCATCAAGGCGCAGGAGGAGGTCTACGCCATGGGCAGTGACCAGGTCATCACCGTGGAGCGCTGGCCGAACTATCCCATGATGGTCCTCACGACCATGCGAGACTTTGCCGCGGGCACCTTCACCCAGAAGCAGATCTTCAACAATTCCCACGCCACGTCCTGCCGCAGCCGCGAGATCAACGAGGACGAGAGCTCTGTGGCCAGCTTTGCGGACTTCGCGGTGGCTGCAGTGGGCAGTACCTCATACAACAGCGAGCCCGATCGCAAGTTCAATCGCTACGTTTTGTACCACAAGGACCGCCCGGACAACCTGGATGCTCAAGTGGAGTTCTGGGAGGAGGCGACAACAGGCATTCCTCACAAGTACTTTCTGCCCAACATCCCGGATAGCCCGCGGGCCTATTTCACGAGCTTCCGAAATAATATCAGCCAGCAGGAGTTTGATGCCGTCAAGTTCCGCATTGAGACGCAGGATTGCCACGGGCCACAGATCCTCGGGCTCACGGCTCCCGTCATCGATCAAGACAATGCTGCTGGCGCCAACGAGAGCCTTGGCCAAGGTTCACTTGCCCAGCACACGGTTGCAGTTTCGACTCAAGCCTGTCTTGATTTCCTGTGACGTTGAACCTCCCTTGAAGCTTTTCAAATCAAGCCAGTCTTGATTTCCTGTGAACCTCCCCTGAAGCTAGGATCTAGCAGGCATCCCGGTTTTGTTGTCCTCCCATAGCCACCTGTTAGGAGCACGGAGACCCTTGAGTTCTACCGATCGCTGGCTGCAGCCTGCGAAGGGGGCGTCTACCTCCCGAGGTAGACTTTGGCGAGGAGGACTACTGGCAAGAGGTGTTGCAGCTGACCTTTTTGCCATCGCAGGAGGAGGAGGAGGACCGGAACCGTTGTCTAATTTGGAACTCAGGTTTGATGATTTGACATCAGGACTGTTGGTTCCTGTTGTTGGGACCAAGGGCCAACAAGAACGAGCCCTGTTTTCTGGCGCTCTGGGGCGAAGTTCAAAATACCAGCAGTTCCTCAAGTAAGAGCTGCCATGGGACCCCACAGGCAAAGCACCTGCAAGGGAAACTTCAGAGTGCTGTCAGCACATGGGACAGCATGCCAAGAGGCGCGCCACAAAGTGCATCTCGGGAACTGTTATTGTGCACAGATGGGTCGAAGTCTGCCTGCAGCCCCTTTCCACTACGGAAACAGAATCGCTCTCAGAGCCGGGGAGCGGAGGTTTGAAACAAATTAGAACTGTACATGAAGGGAACATCGCGAAGCAAAACACAAGTTTTGAGGGTCGACCTACCCAAGGTGCGCAGAGGGTTCACCGATTTAGGGACTGCAGAGCAGTGCGCGCGGCCTTGCCGATGAGCCCGTCTCTGAGACCGTTTCGAGCCCGCTCCGCACCCGCTCTGAGCCCCCTCTGCCTCTTGCGACTCCCCAATTCTCGAGACTCCTTGCATTTTCATGTCGCGTATCGCATGCATTTCTTAGAAAGCTAGCCTCAATTAGTTCCAGTACATGGAAGTTCTGAGAAGATCCTTGCAAAAACTTCTGCACTATCTCTTTACAGGATTTGAGCAAAGTCTCTTTGTCCTTGATGTCTGTAATCATTTTAGGGGATCTTTAATTGTTTCTGTAGAAGATCGCTCGGCAGGATCTTTACAGGGCTCTCTTTTCAGGATCTTCGCAAGATCTCTTCGCGCGAGATTTCTTTACAAGGGTCTTGGGAGATCTTTGCGCAAGATCATTTACTAGGCTCTCCCAAGTAAAAAGCAACCTGTACCAGATTTCTTGAGATGGTCTTTGCAGAAGGTCACACGATTTCTCTACGGGGAACTCTGTGCAAGATCAGCTGTTGAGTTTGGCAGGATGTCTGTAGGTCTCTTGACAAGATCTCTTTAGAGGGTGCTTTTTTCCCACAATTCCTTACACCATCCTGTCACAGGATCTGTTCAAGACTTCGAAAAGGAAGAGTCCCAGCGAGAGCCTTCAAACTTTGTCGCAGGTCCCGTAGGTCCCGTAGGTCCCGTAGCATGTACATTCAATGCTTGCGCTTCTTTAGAACCACCGGGCGAGGACTCAGAGCCCATCGACTTGGCAGACTTTGGGAACGTCTCGGACCGCAGACTGGAAGGCCTCGATGTTGAGCCGGAGGTTGCGAATCCAAGGAGGCTGCAGGTGACGGATGTTCGACAGACACTCTTCGGCTGTCGCTACAACAAAGATGGCAACTCGTTGTCGAAGTCCTTCGGCACTAACACGCACGGCCTGACCTTTAATCTGGAACGGGGCACTTACACATGTTCGAGGAGACGTTATCCTGGAGCCAAATTGGTGTGGGTTGACAGCGCAGCAAGGGGGTCATTGGACGTTGGAATCTTGAAGGTTGAGTGTGGTGGCGAGGCCAAAGGCTACCTTATCAAAAGTTTGGCATCTCCATTCGAGAGAGATGTTTATTACGATTTCGAAGGAGAGCTGACGCTGAAAATTCAAGGTTCTATGATCATACTCATCGGCAAAGTGTCGCTGGGGATTCAAGGTTCCATCAAATTCTGGAAGTCGAGTGATGCGAAGGTGTTGCCTGCAGCGGACGTGACTGGCAGAATCACGGGCTATGTTGAAATCAACATTCTTTCGATTTTGAAGGCTTCTGCCTATGTCGGGTTCACTGCGAGATTCTTCAACTTGGGGCCAAGCTTTAGTGGTTCCGATGCCGATGACGACGAGTTTGAGGTGACCGGGCGAGCGGAGTTCACCGCCACGGTGTGCTGGTTCTTCAAGATCAAGTTCTCCACTAAGATCGATCTGGTGAAACGGCGAGCGCTGTGGGACAAGAGTCCCAACGAGATGAGCTCCGGTCACCAGGATGCTTTGAAGGGTTGCTCGCTTGTGAGCACCCATGACCGGAAATGCCCAGGATCCCAGATTCGCATCACCGGCTTTGCACCCTGGAACGGGAAGTACGGCTCGGATCACATCTCAAACAGGGACACCGTCCAGTACTACAACCAGGAGATCTTTGACAAGCGGGATGGCTCGAAGGTCTACAGGTCCACGACTTTGGAAACGGCCGTGAGCTGGGACTGCGAGAGTTCCCGGGGCTCCCTTCGGCGCCGCCGGAATATGATGGGCTTTCGGAGGCGCAGGGGCGCCAAGGGGAACCGCGTGGTGATGCTGGGCGACACGAGCAAAACGAAGGTGGGGTTCTCCGTCTACGAATGCCCAACGTAAGACGCTGGCAATTCTTACTCAGCAGCTCACCAGGCAAAGATTGTCTTGAATCAGTTTTGTTTGTACAGGCGACTTCGGGTCTACAATTTGTTGTTTCTGCAATGCCTAGCACCATTTTCCCAGCTGGGCTCGATGGACGGACGATGGCAGTGCGGTTGCTGGCAGCCTTGCATCCGTATGTTTTTACAGCCCACTCTGAGTCTACAATGTGTTGTTTCCGCAAGGCCTGGCACCATTTTCCCAGCTGGGCTCGATGGACGGACGATGGTGACGATGGCGGTGCGGTTGCTGGCAGCCTTGCATCCGTATGTTTTTACAGCCCACTCTGAGTCTACAATGTGTTGTTTCCGCAATGCCTAGCACCATTTTCCCAGCTGGGCTCGATGGACGGACGATGGCAGTGCGGTTGCTGGCAGCCTTGCATCCGTATGTTTTTACAGCCCACTCTGAGTCTACAATGTGTTGTTTCCGCAATGCCTAGCACCATTTTCCCAGCTGGGCTCGATGGATGGACGATGGCAGTGCGGTCGCTGGCAGCCTTGCATCCGTATGTTTTTACAGCCCACTCTGAGTCTACAATGTGTTGTTTCCGCAATGCCTAGCACCATTTTCCCAGCTGGGCTCGATGGACGGACGATGGCAGTGCGGTTGCTGGCAGCCTTGCATCCGTATGTTTTTACAGCCCACTCTGAGTCTACAATGTGTTGTTTCCGCAAGGCCTGGCACCATTTTCCCAGCTGGGCTCGATGTAAAGCATCGAGTCGTTATGTTTTTTTTTAGCCCACTCTCAGTCGACAGTTTTGTTGTTTCCGCAATGCCGAGCACCATTTTCCCAGCTCAATGGACGGACGATGGCAGCGGCGGAAAGCAGGGCAAGAAGGACAAATGATTCGCCAAGAACAAGAATGCTGGGTCTAGCAAATGGGTCAGTCTTTTTTAAAGGTACCGCTTTTGGCTGGTGTTAAGAAACAAGCCCAAAGGACAACCACCACTTTGGGGTTTCCTCAAAAAGGGCACACCCAAATGCAAACAGCCCTTGCTTGGAGTCCCTTCCCATTTTGAAGCATCGCAAGAAAGGTCCCCCCTCGCCACCAGAGCCCCAAACTGCACGCCCCCTGGCACCCAGCCGTCAATGTCGCAAATCACTTCCCCTCTTTAGAAGTTAGAACCCCGTAGCTTTCAGCCATCTGGGGAAAATCAAAAATGTGGTGCTGCTCTGGGTTGCTGTTTGAGGTGCTGCTGGCGACGGCGCGGGCGCATTCTTGCGGGTGATAGGGGGCATGCAGTTTGGAGTGCTGGTCCAGGTGATGTTTGAGGTGCGGGCGCGTTTTGCGAGATTGGTGGCTGGGTGCGGGGCATGCAGTTTGGCAGGTGCTGTGTTGGGTGATGCTGCTTGAGATGCTGGTGATGGTGCGGGCCCATTTTTGCGGGTTTTGGGTGCTGGTGCAGTTTTCGCTGTCTGGGGTATATGTTGATGTATTTTTTCATATGGGGTTTGCGGCTGGTTCGGCTTGTATGTTAAGCCAGGCTATCTCCAGCATAGGCAGCATTGAACAAAATCTGTGCGCCGGACATCGTCGGACCAGGGAACAGGCTCACAATGGACCGCCAGAGTTTCCAACAGTTGCACGAGAGTTTCTACTTCCCCCTTCACTTTTGTGTAAATGCTTCGATTTGCCCGCCTCGGCCAGTCCTCTTTTGGCTGGCGTTGAGGTATATACTGTGCTTTAGTTTGCCTTGAAGTGTTAGTGAGTGAGTCGGCGCCGAAATGCGTGAGCTGGTTTCCAAGGTAGAGGGTGGGTGCATGTCCGCAGGTTTCCACATGGCTTCAAGGGCCAGGCAGAGAGCTACAGAATGGGTGCAAATTTCTGCGGGAATTTGACACGTTTCTATGGGAACTTTGCCGCTTCCAGGCTCGCTTCAGGCGATTTTGGCCGCACGACATGGGGTAGGGTGGGGATGGTTTCGAAAATTGCATTTCTTTTCTTTCCCTGTTTGTCTTCTTGGCGCCTAATTTGGTCTCTAAACGAATCTAGCCTAGGTAGCTAATCTAATCCTCTCTAATGCTGTGTAATTCTGTATCATTTTCAAGAAGTAGGGCTTGAAGTTATACCCAAGAAGGCGCTCAGAGTTATGACTTCCTCCTTGTCAAACCTGTTCGCCTCAGATCGGGGTGCTCGTGTTTGCAGGCCATCATGGCGGTGTTTGAAACAGACCGAGCTGGAGAGGATCCGCTCGTGGAGACAGCCCGGGGCCGCAGTTGGCTTCGCACCTGCCCCATGCACCAAGTGGGTTACTTCCTTTGTGTTGAGGGGGTTTCCAACCAAAAAACAGGCCCGGAGAGGTCGCGTTTGTAAATCAGCGAATGGCCTCGGATGGTCCCTGTCTCTGGGGCGAGCATGTTAATGTTTGCGAGGAATGACGTGACAAGCTCCGAAGCATCGTTGCTGTAAAACACGCCACTTCCCAGTTTTACCCAGGAACCCCAGTTACTGCAGTCATACCCCCAGTTTTACCCAGTTACCACCCCAGTTGCGCCAGTTACCCCAGCCACCTCAGCCATAACCACCTGCTTAAGGTGCGTCAGCAGCCGGCCGCGGCGCTGCACTTTATCCGCGCCATGATGTTCTTTGGGGGACTGGGCAGTCTGGCCGGGGTTGCCCAGATCGGGCCGAGATACTATTCTTCGAGAAAATGGGTTTGGAGTGGACGGGTTTTGTTTGGATTTCAGGTTTCTGGTGTGGTTTGGTTTGTAGTTGGCTCTGGGGTAGGTGTCGGTTTTGTGGCTCGTTTGCGGTTTGTGACGTGTTTGTTCCGTGAGAAGAATGGCTTTTGGTTTTGGTTTTACAAGCCTCTACTTCCGTTCACTGAGGCCATTTTGCCGTGTCTGTTTCCTAGGCCACTGGTTTGCCAGTGGAGTCTGGCGCATTTTCCATGCGACAAGCCCATTTATGGGACGCAAAAAGAAGGATCCAGGCCTTGGGCTTTTGATCACTTTCGTGGAAATGAAGATGCAAAGAAAAAGGGTGTTGAGGTGCAAATACTGTGGATGGACGAAATCCGTTCGCAGCTAAGAAACCCTGATGTCTCTCTCCTGTAGATACCAACAAACGTTATGATTTCCAGCGGTGCGAACGGATTTCGTCCATCCACAGTATCTCGGAGGGCAAGCCCACCAGGAAAACCAATGAAAAACCCAGTGCCCTTTTCCTCTCGAACGACTTGCAGAGAGGCTTCATTTCGCTTTGCGACTGCATATGTCTTTAAGAAAGAGCTTTGACAAGGCCATGATGATTGCCTCTGAGAATGACAGATGGAGTATTGGCCTACAGTATTGGCTATTCCCAATGTAGACAGTTTGCAACATTTTGGGTCCTACTCCTCAAACTGAAAGGGATTACGGTGCGGACTACCACATTTGAAGAAATGCAACTGGATTGATATTGAGGAGGATAAAGCAAGAAGAGGTCTACGTATGCATGTTGATCTAGTTTGTGGACAAGTCAACGTGGTTTGGCCTTTCTAGCCTTGTCTTTCAACCCCGTTTTTTTTTTTTTTTTTTTTTTTTTTTTTTTTTTTTTTTTTTTTTTTTTTTTTTTTTTTTTTTTTTTTTTTTTTTTTTCCGCTTGCTCCGAAGAACTTGCCGAATGACACTATCTCAAGCTGAGCCATCCCGATTGGTTTTGAGAAGATACCCCAAACATGGGATGATTCTCAACGCTTTCCCTTTCGTGCAGCAAAAGCACACACCACAAGAAGGCACCTCGCCGAGGTCGTATGTACCGTCTGCTGGACCTTCCTGTACTTCAACTGGACCCGGTGCTGCGCCTGCCAGCGCCCGCTGAGGCCCGGATCCTTTGGAAGCGGCCAGGATCTTAGGACGAACACCAGGCCCAAAATGGGGCTACGAGAAAAAGCAAACCGGGCTTGAATCAAAACTGGTCGCTTCCACCTTCCACTGTTCCATTTCATTTTTTGGGAGAAAACAACAACAACCACAGCCTGGGACTTGCAAGTGCAAGGCTCCCTTTAGCCTCCACTTTTCCACTAAGAAAACACCTCAGGCCAGTCCAGGCATCCCCGTTTTTGGGGCCGGGAAGGCCTTCCCCGGCCTCGGCCGAGAAACTCCCGGCAGGTGGTGGCTCTGCACGTACGCGCTCGTGCAGCAGCTGCAGCTGCCGATCCGCCTGGCGCGGATCGATGGGTTGCTGATGGGTGCGGCCGATGGGGGGGGGAGGTTGAGGGGTTGAGGGAGGGCCGTTTTTCTTGTGGGATTTTGGAGGAACCCAGGTGCGCGTGTGCTCAAACATGGCCCCACGGTGCTGGAGCAGCATCTTAGAAAAGATTGTCCCCTTCCATGATTTGGCTTCTCTGTTTTCAGTGAACACTCTCAAAGGCTGACAGCCCAGCTCAAGAAAGAAAAGCAACAAGTGCAACAGTTCCAACGAGTTTTTACATCATCCCTTGCCCTCAGGTGATGCTCCGACGACTCTGCTGCGCTCAGGAGGCGCATGGAGGGCTGGGGGGCTGGGGTCCCCCCGCTTTCGGTCAAGTGGCGTGTCAAGGCGTTTTTGACACTTGCGGCACCAATCACTTAAACACTTGCCACATATGGGTTCCGAAACCTACCACCCACTGCCATCTTGAGTTTTGTTTCTAGTCAGTGGGGAGAGTACGTTACAACGTGGTGTCAGCCGGGTTACAACACGATGTGGGTTAGAGCAGGTTTTCAACGAGGCAATTGCATGGAGGTTGCAAGGGGTTACACTTCTACAAGGTGGCGCTTGGCTACCTGGCTACTTTGCAGGAAGTAAGCCGCAATCCTTTTTGTTGCGGCTGCTGGTATTTGGTGCAGACACGACGCTCGGAATCTTGCATACCTCGGCAATGGGTAGATTGAGGTCTTCGAAGGGCAGGTTTGCTATCTTGCTGTGGACACCTGCTCCCTCACATTGCTCCGTCCCTCATATTTTTTGCTTGCGATTCGTACCTGTTTGGAGGTGGAACAACACATGCGGGCCCCAAACAAGGGTTTTTGAACCAGAAGACACATGGTTCATGTTTTAAAGAAGTTCTCATGTTTTCCTTTGCAGCTGATTTTTAAGATCAGCCTTGGGTGATTTGAAATTAAGCTTTGGTCGACAAGGAACCGCTCGCCTTCTGAGGCAGATGCCGCTCGCCTCACTTCTTCGCCCCTGTGGCGGTGTAGCAAGAACCTCTCGCTCTTCACGTGCGCGCGTTTGCGTGTGGGTGATGGTCAGCTGTATCAGGAAGCCTTTTGTTGAGGCTCGGGATCCTTTTCGGGGTGCAGAGGGCAACCAAAAAAGGAAAAAGACCTGTGTCGGGGGGTTCCCCCTCCATTTTGACGCACACCCATCTTTGGCAGGCACTTCTGATCGCGGTGCCTCGGCTCTGGCGTTCCTTCATTTGTTTCTGCTCCAACGGAGGTGGCTTTTTCAGGTCGGAAGGCGCGAGCGAAAGAAGGCGCCAAATTCAAGGATCCCGGCCCAAGCAGAAGGGCATACCGCAGCCCCGCTTTTTGTTGCTTTCAGAGCCCACGTGGAGACTCACGAGAGGCCCTGTATCAAACCCGCCGAACGTGGGGTGCTGGTGAGAAGGTTGGTTTCCTCTGGATTTGCTTCGGAAAGCCATGAGTTTCTAGCTGACTCAATTGTAAGGGAACAAGAGCTTTCGGTAGGCACAGTGCGCCTTGGAGATATGGACAGTCTCAAACTTGTCACTCCACAAACAGAAGACGCAAGATGGGTGGATTTGGCATGGATGGTGTCAGTTTGCTTTTGACATGGACCCAACAGCATCCGAATTTTGTGACGGGTAGCTTTTTGTGCAGTACTGGTCTGCTGGTTTGCGGTTTGCCGAGACCAAAGCCGATTGGAGGGGTAGTCCGAGGCTTCTCTTGTGAGCTAGGTACGGATGGTTTGTGCTGGGCATCATTTGGGTTGTGAACTCCAGCTCAGCATCCTGCACGGGAGCATACAGGCGAGAAGCCGAGAGGGCTGTTCCCGGTTTGTGTCCTTGGGGGAAATAAAATCAGGGAGGGAGGGAGGGAGGGAGGGAGGGAGGGAGGGAGGGAGGGAGGGAGAGAGGGTTTTGCGGCGCCCTTCGAGGGGAGTTGATTGTCACTAGCCGTGGGTGGACGTCATGCCTGGTTCCGTGCTATGTGGGAGGATTGTACTGAAGTTGCAAGGTCCGTAAATTGGCTCGGGACATGCCAGGAGCGTCATTTGACATTTCCGACCTTGTCCTGTTTGTCGCATGTCAAACGTCCCGAGTTTGATATGTTTGATATGTTTGATGATATCTACACCACGTACAGGAGGCATTCATCAGCCTGGCTATTGTTCAGTCAGTCCTTTGGGTCGCTCGCAATTCTGGGGGATGATTTTCAGTCTCCCCAAAACATGTTCTTGGAGGTCGAGCACAGAGAAGCTGGTCAAAAGCTCTTGGTTCATGCCACTCAAAATCCAAGACACACCGCCCGGAGGGAGGTCTCTTCTCGTAGTTCGAGGGCCTTTGCGAAGCGCGAATTCAACCAATTCTTGATGGCTCCCAGCCATCCCCTTAGCTTGTTGGCCTTTCAGTGTTTAGTGGTAGTTTCCATTTAAAACGCACTAAAAGTTAAACTTTTAGCGGGGGATCTGAGGGCAATCATTCCTTCGGAACTTGTGCAAAGAACCAGCTGGCACTTGGACTTTTCTGGAAAGCCCAACTGCACTGCCGGGGGGGAGGGGGGGAAGGCACGTACTTGATGCACACCGCTGACACTGCGCGAGGCTCACCGTGGCCATCATCTTCCAGGCGTTCCTCAGGGTTGCCTGGAACCCAAGCCCGGCCTTGACGGGCGTTCAGTTCTCCGGACAGCAGGGAAAGGCCAGGTAAAAAGACCCCAGCATGCGTAGTGCATGCTCTTTGCATTGCGGTTGACAATGCCGTTTATTGGTCGTTTCGTCATTGTGCTCGTCATCATCGTCGTCGGTTGTTGGTTGTTTGTTGTTTGTGGTCCATGCGTTGGGTTTGGGATCGCACTCAATCAGGATGTCTGTTTTCGAGAGATGCGTGGCAGCACCACGAGGTCCGGAGAGAGCGATGGAGAGAATTGCCGTTTGCGCTTGTGCAAGCCAATTTCCGTGGACAAGTTGCACATGTGCTAATGTTTGCACCGTGAAACAGGGAGTTTGCTTGGCAAATGCAGTCTGGCCGGCTTCTTGAAGCAATGTATCCTGGGGCTTGAACCTGTCATCGAGCCACGCCAAAATTCCCATGAGGACCCACCTTGTTTGAATTGTTAGCCCCGAACCCGTTGACGCGGGAGCCGACCGTCCACCGGCAATTGGGATGGTCCTTCAAGAACATTCTCGTTTTTGGATTTCCATGCGGCTTCCCCAACCCGGGCTTGCGAGGTCTTGGGGCTGATCTTCCGACCCAAGGCAGTGGGCACATGGCAACTTTCGGGGCAAACTCGGGCTCGAACTGCTTCAATCGTATCTTTGCTCGGATTTGGATTGTTATGTCTTCAAAACGCCATGGAACAACTGTTGGGGTGTTGTCTCAGAATTGAGCCAATCTCCCCCCCAATACCGGTGGTTTCCTTCTGGTCTTTAAAACATAAGCGGGCGCCCTAGACAAAAACACACCTGAGCGACGTTTTTAAGCAAGCTTTGAGTCTTGAGTTGCCTGAATCTTGTGCAGGCTTCAGTAGACTTGGCCTTTAAACCAATCATTTTGGGCGCGCGAGGGCGACCTGGCCGGCTACTTGGAAAGGATATCCCCCATGGTGGAGGTTTCACCGAATCACCATCCAGGAATCCCTTGTGAGAGGCAGAGGCAAGATGAGATTGGCAACAGACGTGCACAATGTGTTGAGATCGGCTCAACCCTGGAGCTACAGACCGAACAGCCAAGCAATGAGTTATAACTACTGGCCATGTTCGAGGGCATGTTACCTCAGCGGGAGAAAGTTGTGAGGTGGGCAAACACGATTCTCAACATGATGAAAGCGCTCAAGTTGGCTGTGCTACTTGCTTCTTGCAGTTTCTTTGGGGACCATGAGGGTCTTGAATGCAATGGTCTTGGGTATGAGCCTAGATGATGGCGCCAAACAGCCTCGCGGGCGACATTTTCGCGACTTTTTCTCGGCCTTGTGGTTGTGGGTGCAAAACTCGCGAGGAACTGGTCACTTGATCTAAGGCTAAGGAAGACAAGTGCACCTAAAACTCGGGGGGTTTTCATTTTTTTGGGGCCCTAAGAGGCGGCTAGCAACGGCACCGAACCGGGTCCAAAAAAGCCCTCATGGAGCTGCGTCGACCAACTTCGGCGCGCGGAGCCAGGGCCAGGCCCCGGAAAGCTGGGGACCCGGGGTGAGAAGCCGCCATGTCTTCCCGTGCTCAAGCGAAAAACCAAACGGTGAGAGCCAGTCAGGGATTTGTGAGGCATTTTCCGTGGGGCCCTATGTACTTATAGCTTTTATGGCTGTGCGTTGATTCCAAGATCCCTGTCGGTCGGTGCTAGGGTCTCGCGTCAAGCACTTGTTGGTTTGTGCAGCGTAAGGGCAAGCCCACTCAGTGAGGGTGAGCCCGCGTTGACTAGTGGACTCCGTTCCTGTTTCCACAAGGACACCTTTGGGTTGTTTGCAAATGAGGCCTGTCACTCATTGGTGAAGCTTTTGGAAGGACGACTTGTTCCCCCCGGCAATGCGGAATGGGATGAAGGATGATGTAGGCTGCAGGGAAGGCCCTTTTGTCAGTGTTGGATTTCGAGGAATGTGCACAACCTTTCTCTTCCTGTCTTGCTTTCAACATGATTCCAAGGGCATGATTCATGGTGGGAGCTCACTCCGTTGGGAAGCCACCAGGTGTCTTGTGGAACTGGCCTGGCAAAGGTGGCTTTGAGACGGCATTGGGTGGAATGTGCAAGTAATAAACGATTCCTTGACCGTTTTTCGTGCGAAGGCTTGCGCGTTGAATCGCACTTGGACTTGGGAATGATTCGGAAAAGGGATTAGGTAGACCTAGACTGGCAGCTTTTTCACCAGCCTGCTCGTGACTTCAAGTCATACGAACGCGTGCGCATGCATTCATATGATGCATGGAGCTCTGCAAGCTGGGCTTGGGGCGCATCTCCCCCTTTGCTCAGTTTCCATGGACCACAATGTAGGAATCACGATGGATGCTTGCTGCTTCCTGATTTTCCAGTCCTTTGCGCGCGCACAGTTCACTTGTTCCCCAGTTGATCCATTTGTTTCCCAGGCCCCAAGATCCAGGCGCCGCGCGGAGCGGACGATCCGGGGATGGTTGTTCATGGCCCACTTACTGAGCACTGGAGTCAAAACCACTTCTTTCCGGTTGGGCAAAAGCTGCGGTAGCAGGGTTCATCGGGCCGAGTGAGTCTTTCCTAGTACTCTTAGGGAGTTTTGAGTACGTAGTGAACTTCGAAAGGAACCACAAATGTTGATTGGGGGGTTTGGTCGATCGTTTGGCCTATGGCTAGAATGGCTGCAAGGGGACGCAGGAAGCCATGGTACCCCAGCATGTGAGCTGTGTCCAAAAGAAGTGCCAACCAGTTTTGCAATGCCACGAACTTTCACCCTCACTTTGCAAAACTTTGGACAACGATAGACCTCACCGAAGAGAGCAACCACTCAGAATGAACAGAAGACTGGTACAACGATAGATCATCGGGGAGCGATACCAATACTATTTCCTCGTGCTCAGGGCTTTTTTTTTAATTATTATTATTATTATTATTATTATTATTATTTTATGTGTGGAAAATGGGCCTAAGTGTCGAGTATCCTGTGCCCGTTGGCCATGAACTCACGAGTTTGTGTGCACTTCTTTGACCCATCCGACAAGCCACCGGCTCAACTCATGGCTAGGGTGGGGCATGGCAGACAGACTGTTGCAAGCGGCCCATCGTCCTCCCAGATTGTCTTCAGCGCCACATCAACACACGGAGTTCCTCCTTCGAAGCGGAAGGGGCCACGTTTGCCGGCCTCTCAATCAGAACGTCATCATCATCATCATCGTCGTCATCGTCATCATCATCGTCGTCATCGTCATCATCATCATCATCATCATCATCATCATCATCATCATCATCATAATCACCATCAAGAACGATCATCATAATCACCATCAAGAACGATCATCATAATCACCATCAAGAACGATCATCATAATCACCATCAAGAACGATCATCATAATCACCATCAAGAATGATCATCATAATCACCATCAAGAACGATCATCATAATCACCATCGAATCATCATAATCACCATCATCCATAATCAAGAATGATCATCATAATCACCATCAAGAACGATCATCATAATCACCATCAAGAATGATCATCATAATCACCATCAAGAATGATCATCATAATCACCATCAAGAACGATCATCATAATCACCATCAAGAATGATCATCATAATCACCATCAAGAACGATCATCATAATCACCATCAAGAATGATCATCATAATCACCATCAAGAATGATCATCATAATCACCATCAAGAATAATCATCATAATCAACGTCACCATCATCATGATCATCATCAAGAATGATCATCATAATCACCATCAAGAACGATCATCATAATCACCATCAAGAATGATCATCATAATCACCATCAAGAACGATCATCATAATCACCATCAAGAACGATCATTATAATCACCATCAAGAATGATCATCATAATCACCATCAAGAACGATCATCATAATCACCATCAAGAATGATCATCATAATCACCATCAAGAATGATCATCATAATCACCATCAAGAACGATCATCATAATCACCATCAAGAACGATCATCATAATCACCATCAAGAATGATCATCATAATCACCATCAAGAACGATCATCATAATCACCATCAAGAATGATCATCATAATTACCATCAAGAACGATCATCATAATCACCATCAAGAATGATCATCATAATCACCATCAAGAATGATCATCATAATCACCATCAAGAATAATCATCATAATCAACGTCACCATCATCATGATCATCATCATGGTCGTCTCCACAAAGCAACAAACAAAAACCTCCTCCGCAGCTCCCTCCCCTTTCCTTCCCGCCTCCTGGACGCCAGGGCGCCAGTCCAGAGGAAATCCGAGCTCTGGCCGTCGAGGCCTTCTCGCCCGGACGCCCCAGAAACTTCTCCCGTGGGCGGAGAGATGTCGCGGAGAGGGGGGCCTTTGAGGGGGGGGGTTCCTCAAAAAGTTGTCCCCGCAAACGGCTGTACCTGAAAGTTTTGACAACATGTACCAACCAAAAGGGGGTGCGAAAGTCCACTTTGAGAAGCTCTCATGTAGTAAAAACATGACATCATCATGGTTATCAGGGACTAACCCAGCCATCCCAGGGCGTGCTTATACCTTCCTTCCCAAGTGGGTTGAAAAACCGGAATGTGTCGCAGGCATCATGTTTGTTTCTTTTTTTCAGCGGAATCAGCCGCTGGGATTGTAGGAGTAATCTAAGCGTGTGTTCCGTTTGTTTTCCTTCTCCAAGGTTTGCTGAGTGTGAGCTCTTGGTATGCCTTTTTGCTGGGATTACATTAATATCTAACTGTTGGCAAGCAGGGGCAAGGGAAGCCCTTCAAATTAGCAAGTCGGCATAAACCCAGGAAAAAGTTTGAGATGACCCAGATCAACTAAGACCTGTTGAAGGCACTACTCAAGGATTACAAAGTACCTGTGCATTGTATTTCACACTTTCTCCCTTAGCTGCTTCTTGTCTGTCCCGCTGGCATTCGCTCATCTAGGGAAACGGCTGAGTGGCTGGTTTGTTGGGA